TATCTTAGGCATGGTTCTATATCTGCACGTGTAGCGCTACCTCACTTTTGTTAAGCTTTAGCAATGCTACTCAGTGTGGTCTGTGTACGAGTACTAGTCCAGGAACTGTTTACCCATGGTCTGAGAAAAGATAAGGGAGGAGCTTGCACCAGAATGCAAATCAACTATGTCTCTAAACTCACTGTTTACTTCAGTTGATACATAAACATATGGTTTTTTGTCAGTGAGACTCTCTTGATAAAGTCATTGATTTACATTCTGGCTCAAGCTCATTGTCTACAGTAGACCAGTAACAAACAGCAGACTGTCTATTTTGAGCAGTGCAGCCCTAAAGTATGTACTTCCATAAGTTATTCAACCGGTCCCCTCTTGGTGAGCACTTAGGTTCGTACAAGTGAACGTTCTTGCACACATACACCTTTATGCACCTGGGAGAGTATTTCCATAGGAGGGATTCTAAGGAGTAGAATCAAGGGCTGTGCAATTGAAAAACACTGACCATGATGCTGCCAGAGATATAGAAGTGACCTCAGAGCTAATTAGTCCAATTATTGCATTTCATTGATGAGAAAACTGAAACCAGAAAGGTAAAAGCAAGGTCCAAAGACCAACAAGCTCAGTGCAGGAATGGGACCAACTCCTCTGAAAGGCACCAAGCATCAGTGGAACAATGACCTGGACACAAGGCCTTAGAGTCTGAGGTAAGGGAGTGGATGGAGTGACACTGTCTCGCACATCAGTATAATCTGGAACAATTAAGGGTATATCAGGATCACCTTGGGGCCTAACCTATGGGAAATCTGGGTCCTGTATTCATAGGTGTTGCTAGGCCTCCTAGAAAGGCCTGTGAAGGAGATTTTGGAGCACACTGCTTGGGCTGATTTAATCTACCCCATGGAAGAAAAAACAAAAAGGTCTCATTAAACCAGGATATCCTAACAGGGCAGACAATTCACCTGTATCTTAGAAGAGTTAAATGATAGTGGGCTTTTATCAGAGAAAGGAAAGGAACAGTGAAAAGGAATTGGGGACAAAGGAGGAATTAAAAGGGTAGAGGACAGAGCTGTAAAAGACATGCACAGAAGGAGAGGTTCAGTAAAGGCTAAAGGAAGTGACCACATTTTTAGGAGAAGCAGAGCTGTGGAGTCCCGAAAGCCAAGAGAACTAAGTAGCAAGAAGGAATAAGCAGACAGCAGGGTCAAGAGCTGCAGAGGGCTCAAATGAGATGAGGACTTTAAACTGCCCATTGGATTTGGCAACATGGAAGCCCCTGTGACCTTGCTGAGGGTCACTTCATTAAGCGGTAACAGCAAAACCCAAATTGCAGTGGATTGAGGGAGTGGGAAGTGAGGAAATGGAACCAGTGAGCGTAGCGATTCTTGGGCAGTCTGGTGGGCAAGAAGCAGAGAGAAAAGTGACAGTAGAAGGTGGCAGCAGCTGAGGGATAAAGCGCATGTCCTAGAAGACCTTTACTCAATTGCGCATGTGCAGGCAAGTCACTCACTCTCAGGACCAGAAGCAGCTGGAGAGAGAAACGGGAGTCCCAGCTTCCTGAACCAGCCTCTGCTGAATCATGGTTCTCTGGGGATTTGTATAAATTTTCCACATTAATGAAACTCTGCCCATACTGTTTGCAAGATGTGTGCCTGGAGTATGATAATAACAATAGCCACCATTACTGAGCTTATTTATGCAAAGCTAAGGGCTTTACATAAATTACCTCATTTAATCCTCACAACAACCCTTTGAGGTAGGCCTTATTATTCCCTTCAATTTGAAAATGATGAAACCTGAGACAGAGTGCTTAATTAGTCTGCTTACAGGTCATCCAGCAAATAAACAGCAGCATCAAGATTCAAACCCAGGTTCATCTTACTCCAATGCCTGCGCTCCTGGCTGTTAAGCCAGTCTCTCAAGCTGGGCTCTGTGAATCACAGGCATCAGAATCATGTGGGGAGCTCCCCAAAAATACAAATCCCCAGGTTCCACAAAAGATATACTTACCCTCCTTTAAAATGATAATTGGCATAGAATCTGCAAGCTCCACAAATGATTCTATGGAGCTCTGCAAATGATTCCTATGTTCATGGAAATTTTTTTTTAGGTGAAGTATTTACCTCCTTACTGTTTGAGCTGCCAGTCATTGGTCTTCAGCCACATTACGATTCATACTCTTCCCTGAGGATAAAGATAGCCTGGACTGCTTGTGTGAGATAAAGTAGCTTCTCAGGCCTTAACCTGGACCTACTGAATAAAGATTTCCAGGGGAGAGGACTGGCAGTCTGTACATTTAGCAAGTTCCCCAGTCAATTCTTATCTACAGAGAAGATTGAGAAAGATTGTTCTCTTATTAGCAGATTAAAGTATCCTAAGTGTTACCCTGGGCTCTAATTTAGGTACCAACACTTAATCTTTCTAAACTTCATTTTCCTCATCTATAAAATGGGCATAAGAATGCCTTCCTGGTGGATCTGTTGTGAAGATTAGATACTGTACCCATTAAGATTAGATTTACCTGCTTATAACAAAAACAAAGTCACAAGGGCTTAAACAAAGGGGTTTATTTTTCTCTCAGGTTAAAGTCCAGAGGTAGGCTATCCAGAGCTGCTCTTAGGGAGGAAGACTTGCTGTCTGTCTGTCTGCCTTTTCACCATGAGCATATTGCCTCCTGGCACAGAATGGCATTGGAGGCTGCAGCCATTTGTCTATAGCCCTGGTTGAAAAGAAGAGAAGATGCACCTCCCAGCCAAGTCAGGTCCCCTTCAGTAATATTTCTGAAAGGTTCTCATAACACTTTCCATTTATATTACTTTGACCAGAACTTAGTCATAGGGCCATACCTTGTTGCAAGGAAGGCTAGGAACCAAAATCTTTTAATTCAGCATCAAGCCTTTGCCACCCCAAATAATAAACCAGGATTCTGTTATTTAAAAAGAAAGATGAGGGGCCGGCCCCTGGCTCACTCGGGAGAGTGCGGTGCTGATAACACCAAGGCCATGGGTTCGGATCCTTTAATTTAAAAAAAAAAAAGAAAGAAAGAAAGAAAGAAAAGAAAAAAGAGGAAATATTGGTGTAGCAGCTACAGGAAAGTGCCTGGGCAAACTTCTTACTTCAGGGAGCTGAGGCCCCCAGCTGCTGTGCTTTGAAATCCACTGGCCATGCCTCCCATGGGGATGCACCCACCAATGACTGAATGTGGTGTGGTAAAAAGTCCTGAGAGACAAGGGACTCCTTTGTTGGCTGACTTCAGCTCAAGGACTCCCTCACAGCTTTGGGGAACCTTTGTTAGACTGCTCCTTCCTTAGAGAGCAGCAAAATCTGGCATGCAAACAACCCAATCTCTCTTCCCCTCTCTTTTACTTGGGGCTGATGGCTCTCCAGGCCTTCTCTAGCTCCCTGCCTATTTCCTTTCACACAGGCATTTCCCCTAATAAAACACTTGCATATTTAATCCCATCTTGGTGTCTGCTTCTCAAAGTGCCCAAACTAACAAAATTGGCAAGGTAATCCACAGTCTCTAGCACAGATCCAGTAACGCCGGTAACACTTGTGTTACTCATGTAGTAGGTGCTTGTTGGGAAAATAGAGTAGTTTAGTCAGCCCCCTGCCCCCTCACCTCAGGTCTGGTTGGGGGTGGTGCAGCACATTCTTTGTGAACAAGTTGTGTGGGGGTGGAGTTAGTGTGCATGCACACCAGTGTATCTTTTTGGTTTGTTGTTATTCTTGTGTGTTCTTCAGTGTGTGAAGCAGCAGCTCAGTAGAGCTCATGCTCTAAGAATAGAGCATGTTTACTTTGCTGGCAGCTGCTCAGTTTTTCTTTGGACTTTGCCAGCAGCTGCTTAGTTTTTCTTTGGACTGCCTAGCTCTTAGACGTGCCTGTGCTGAATAAAGACTATTCTTTCTTCAACCAAGGCTCCAAGGACCTTTTCCTGTTACCTAGCTCATAGACATGCATGTGAAGTGTTTGCGAACGGGCTCGAGGGGTCTTTGAGCTCTATACCCTAGCCCTAGCTCTACAATACTCAATAAATATTAGCTGTGTGGTGATCCTGGTGGTGGTAGTGAAGGAGGAGGAGGAAGTTGTACAGAGCCAACCACAGAGAAAGGAGTGTTTTGGGGGTGGGGGACACAGCGACTCAGGCAAATCACTGATTCCTTATCGGCACCAAAGTCAGTATGAAAAGTGGAATATAGACTCTAGGTAGTTGACATCACAGGGCAACTTAACCATTATTACTTAACACTGACCATTTCAAATTATTTTTCAACAAAAAGAAAGGAGGGGGGGAAAGGAGCAGAGCAGGGCCCAAGACAAAATTGCACAAAATAAACCCAATGTACTGAGCAACTCTGATTCTCATATTGGAAAAATAGTGACCAGAAATTACTTGTCATCATGACCTAAGAATATTATTCCCATGAGGAGGTTTTCAGTGTGGAGCTAAAGCACATGCAAATCTCTACAAAAATAATAAAGAATTCCAAGGAGAAAACACAGAATAAGGGAAGGTGTGGTGGGAGCAAAAGGTGGATGTGAAGCTGCCTGTGACTCAAAAGTTCCATGGGACTTAACCAACATTATGTACCTGGCACAGGGAAGGAGCTTAATAAATGATGGTTGCCCAGATAAATGAATGCCTCACTCAAGGTTATAGCTCTCCATTCATTCATTCATTAAAGAAAAATTTATACAAAGCCTACTACATGCCTGGCTCTGTACTAGGTACAGAGGACGTCACAGTGAACAAGACTGTTAAGGTCCTTGCTCCCTCCCCCTTTGCAGACATTTTATGTGAACCCTCTACTTCTTTCTACACTCACAGACTGAATGGGAGCGCATGTCTTTCAGATTTGAAGCCTGTACATTGCATCTGAAATATTTTCTTAGTCTCCAAAACCAAATAGACTTATCCATGTAAAATTATCCCTGATGCAACCCTGGATTTATATTGGCCTCTGTATCAGTTATCTATTGCTGCAAAACAAATTACCCCCAAAACTTGGCAGCTTAAAATAACAAGTATTTATTATAACACAGAGCTAAGGAGTGACTTAGCTGGCCAGTCTGGCTCATGGTGTCTCATGAGGTCTCCATCAACGTGTTAGCTGGGGATTCAGTCTCTGAAGGCTTGACTGAAGCTGGAGTGTTTGCTCCCAAGGTGGCGCACTCACATAACTAGCAGATTGACACTGGCTGTTAGCAGCAGGCTCATTTCTTTCATACGTGAGTCTCCTTAGGGCTCCTCATGACATGGCAGCTGGCTTACCCCAGAGCATATGATCTGATAGGAAGAGAGAGAGAAAAACAGGAACAGAGAGACCAAGAGAGAAGCTGCAATGTTTTTTACAACCTGATCTGGGAAGTGACATACCACAACTCCTCCTGTATTCTTTTGGTCACACAGGCCATCTCTGGTACAATGTGAGAAAGGACTAGACAGGGGGTGAAAACCAGGAGGTGAGGATCACTGAGGGCTGCCTTGGAGGTTACCACAGTCTCCAAGGTAAGCTTCCTCTCCCCAAACTCCACCCAAATCGGGAGTGGGAGGATGCAAATTTCACCGTTTGAAAATACAGAGGCACACAGTGAACTGGGAAACCCATGTTTCGGGACCCGTTGAACTGCTTTTCCTCTATTGTACTTTAGCACCATGCCACAGGCCTGCATGGAAGGGCATCATAAGAAACAGCTCCAATTAAGTCACAGCTGTATCTGTGTCACACTGTACAGTCAGTGGACCCACAGGAAAAATACCTCTCTGGTCTCAGGGTCAGGAAAAGTTGGGCTTCCCCTGAAGAATTACTTTGTTTTTCTCTTGTAAAACCTGTAATGCCACTCACGTTCCTCTTTATCTTAGCTGTTCAGAAGTTCAGAGCCAAATATGTGAGGCTCTGCTGGCATCCATCTCCTTGAGCACATGACGTCCTGTAGTTACTTCTTCCGCTAGTTTCTATTCCCCAGTTCCTCAACTTTTCATCCTATCCCTTTGTGTATTTTGTACTCTTGTAATTCCTCTCAAAGCACTTGTGGATTGAGGTGGAGTTTAAACACATAATAAAATTAAAGTTTTTGCCCTAAAGACTGATGACCTGCATTACGTGTGCCACCTAGTGGTGAGAGACACAACTGCCAGAATAGAAACCCGTGATTTTTCAGAGTTCTTTTGTCTTGCAGTGGGGAGTAGTGGGTGAGGGAAGAGGGAGCCCAGGACTCCTCTCCGGGCTTTGTCAGGGAGTTGAGACTGCTGAGGATTAAAGACACTCCAGATGGGGCCAAGCAGCTGGAGATTCAATGGCGGGAATCCAAGATTATTTATTGGAATCTGAAGAAGCAGTCAAAAAAATGGTGAAGACCTTGCAAGTGAGAAAGGCACTGGCAGTGGAAGGGTTAAGTGAAAGGTATTAGAAAAAGTAAACAATGAAAATAGACCAGATTTGAGTAAATGATCACTTGAAAGGTGCTTAATTTAGGTTGATTGCAGATGTGACCAGCCATTTTTTAAACACTCATATTAACCGTAGGGAAAAGCTTAAGAGTCTAATGTTTTCAGTTTCTCATGAGAAAACCGGGGCACCTTGTCTAAGGTCATATAGCCTGTTAGTCACAGGTCCAGGTGACTCCTAGGTCAGTCTCCTTTCCCCAGCTCCACACTGCCCCTAATTGTATGTAGGAGATGTTCATTTGGGCTTTTATTTTGCACACAAGGTTTCAAAATAAAAATAAGATCATTACATAAAAATACTGGATCCATCATGTTTCCAAGGAATTATTACTCACTGGTTTTACAGCAGCACCATGACACACTCCCAAAAAGTCAGGATGGAGGAGGTGGTTATGAAGCACTGGTTTTATTAACCTTAACCAAAAGCCATCAGTTCACAATGATAGGGAAGGATTCCAGAAGCCAGTCTCAATAGGTGAGGAAGCCCCAGGCTGGGGAAGAGAAAGTAAGTTCATTCTACTGTGTTAGCCTAGTACCTGCTCTGGGCCAGGTTCGGGGCAGGATGCTGAGGTGGCAATACCAACTATGCACCGGCTATCTCCAGAGCCATACATATTCCATCTCTGTACCGTGTGTGTTCCTGGGCACAGCTTGAGCTACACCTGAGACATAGCATGGATCTGGAGGGCCCCTGAAGACCTAACCCAGGGATCTTTAGTCTCAGGATGAGAATCTCAGAAACATCCTGGAGTCAGGGACAACTAATATCCTGGAGTCAGGTTTGAAGATACTGTCTAAGCAGGAACTTCAGACATCACCATATCAGACAGCACAGATATAGAACATTTTAATCATCTCAGAGAGTTCTATTGGACAGTACTGGCCAAAAGTGTCCTTTCCTGGATTTTCTGCTTCTCTGAGTCCTACCAGTTATTCCAAGCCAGTACTTCAAAAGTTCACAGAAAAATAGACTTGAAAGATAATACTAACCTTTCCGTGATCTTTCTGAAGTACCCTCATAATTAGAGACTGATGAGTCACCAGTTTCTGAATGACACAGAGCCCCAGCACAATGGCTTTTCCAGGTCTGATGTTCTCAGAAGTACAAATGACACAACAAAGATAGAGGGCATCTGGAGCTCAGTTCCTTAAACTTTTCAGGTTTCTCTGCTGATAACGTGCCAGAATAGGGGCCAGGGGAACAGAAGGGGTATTAGGGGACTCAACCTCTGAGGTCAGAAAGACCTAGGTTTCTACCCCAGATTTCCCATGACTAGTTGAGTGAGCTTTGGGCAAGCCTTTGGGCACCAGTTTTCTTGCCAGCAAAAAGAAGCTGAGACCTACCATTGTTATGAGGATTAAATGAGGCAGTGGATTGAGACAGTTTCTGGCTCAGCGTCAGTGCAGATTTCTTACCCGTCTCTCCTTGCCCTTTTGGATGCTAATCTCCACTCTGCCATGTAAAGGAGCCAGAGGTCACCTTCTCATCAGGTGCCAGGTGGAGGCTAGCCATGGCTACCTGTTCCACTCATTCTCTCAATGGACATCTATTATGAAAATGCCAACTGTCTACCGTCGTGTTCTGCATAATAGAGATAGAAAACAAGTCCCTGAGAAGAGGAGCTCACAATTTTGTGCGAGAGATTGGTAGGGAAACCAATAATTATACAGCACAAGGACCAAGAGTTCATTGAAAGTGCACAAAGAGAAGAGTACAGAGGAGGTGATATTTCAGCCAAGACAGAAAGAGTGAAGTTTGCCTGCTCAGCATGCACACAGGAGAGGGCATGCCAAGCAGAGATAGCACATGCATAAAAAGGAGACTGGAAAGCAAGGTAAATCCAATTATGAAGGTCCTTGAGCACCAGGCTGAGGAATTGGAATTAAAACTTGCGGAGGACACAAAGCCTCTAAATGGAAGTAAAGTCATCATATTTGAGCACTGAAAATACGCATATTTCTATGTTGCCAGTGTGGGGATGATTTGGGAGACGGAAGGCTAAAAAGAGGCCAGCCTCAATTTGTTCCACTCTCCCCTTATCTCTCTGGGCTTCAGTCACGAGGGACTTCTATGAATCCCTTGAATAACAAAATATCAAGCTCTTTCCTGCCTCAGGTTCTTTGCACTTGCTGTTCTCTCTGCTTGGATCACTATTCTCTTGGCTGTTACAGAGCTTCCTTTTCCTCAGCCTTCAGGTCTCAAACATTTCTTCCTTTCCCTAATCTCTCAGTCTAATTTATCCTCCCCCCCCCACTTGATTATTCTTTCTTGCAGCATCCTATTTCTTTTTTTTTTTATTTATTGCAATTTAAAATTTTATTCGTATTTGTATTATGTGACCAATATCTGACACCTATTAGAATGTGACCCTATTAGGACGTAAACTCCATTTGGGTGGGTCATGCAACACCCAACATAATGCCTGGCACTGCGCCAACACTGTCAGTAAATAGTGGATGCATAAGACTGTGAGAATAGCCGGGATGATCTTGGTTTAACCTATGGAAGTAGCAGCAAACCCGAGAAAGGGAGACTAACCACACGGAGTGAACAGGGCAGGTTTGAGACAAGAATCAGAATTCGTTGCGATTGTACTGAGTTCTGACTACACTTCCAGCTGCACAGACTGGACAGGTCAACAATCTTTATCCACCGCAATTTTCCCCTCGGTAAAATCAGAACGACACCCCGTAGCGTGGCAGAGCGAATGTCCTCCTAGGCAAAATCAACAGGCTGTGGCTGTGGCTGAGGATCGTGAAGGCGCACATGAGAACACATGGAAGAGCAGGTGACTCTCCTTGAGAGAGGAAGTCACTGCCTGATGGAAGTCCTGCTGTAAAATGAATCCCCTATATGCGCAGCGCCATGGTTCTTTGTAACCTCATAAAGCGTCCGATGAGCAGCAGAAGCTAGGGAGTAATTTTAGGGCCGTTGTCATTGATTCTTTTTACATAGTTTCGCCATTTCTCAGCAGATCGCTCCCACAATTTGTTTAATCTAAATCTAAGCTTGGAAGACGCTCAAGACTACGCGGTAGAAGGAAAAACCCCGCTGAAGGTAGGTGGGTAGACGCTCCCGCGCAGCGCCACCTGGCGGGGAGACAGGGGCCGGCGTAAAAGGCCCGCCCATCGCCTCTTCTTTCCGGCAGCTTCCTGCCCTACCTGCGACCCCCTGGGAGAGGGGAGCGTCAGCGGGACCCGGAGACGTCCACGTGACTTCATTTCCCAGAGGACCCGAGGCCAGCCTCCGTCTCCGCGTCAAGGAAGGGGCCGAGCTCGCTTCACCCATCTCGAGAGTGCGGGACGTTTTAGTCCAGGTGGCTTCGCCCTCCCTCGCCAGCCTGTCAAGTCCCCATGGCTGGTGGGCAAGCCCGGCACCGCCCCCATCTAATAAGCCCGGAGGAAGTGGCGCCGCATAGCCCTCTGGGAATTGTAGTTCCCAAGAAGATTTCTGGGAAACGGAGTCCGAGGAAGGCTACGAGCTTTTGCAGCCAATTAGAGGTGGGGTGTCACGTGACCTGCGCGGTCACCTGCTCCGGGACTTTGCCTGAGCTGCTTTTGGGGGGTCCCCAGCTCTGGGCTGCAGCTCCTGCCACCACTTGGACTCGGCTTCTGGCCTGGCTTACCCAGTGCGTGAACCATCCCTGTTACCCAAGTGCGGGGCTGGCCACAAATCTGCATATATTTAAACTCGTGTTGGTTCTCCGTGACCTGGAGTTAACTTGCAGCATTTGTAGGACTTCACCATGCTCTTCTACCCATGGCCTCTGCAGCAACCAAAATGAACCACTCGAGTTACTTCAGAGTTCTAGTGAATAATCCATTGATCGGTCATCTGATCGCCTCGTCTTTGGGGACCTTTTCCACTGCTTGTTCTCACTCCACCAACTTGTCCTCACCCATGACTGTGTTGCCTCAGAAACTTAAGTCTTGGGACCCCTCTACTTTCTCGCCATCAGTCACCTCCTGGTTTCATTTTTTCCCCTATCCTACTTAGATCCTATGGATCCTCTCCTGCCTCATTTCCTTGTGTAACAAGCCCAAACTCTATCTATTAATACAATTGCCTGCTTGTGGTTTGCCAGGTGCTCCTGGAGGGGGGAAATCTCACAAATTGGTGCCACTACGATCACGGTCTCACAGTTCAGTTAAGCCCAAAACTCAGTGGGCTGGTTACAGCACTGGCTGGAAGGAAGGTAACCAATAGAGGAAGGGGGTCTGCTACCGAGAGCCTTGGTGGGAACGAGGCTTTGGAAGGACCACTTTTGTTGCCTTCCATCTTACGTCATGTTTGTCCTTTTGCAATGTCAGAGCAAAGCAAAATATTAGTTATGAGAATATCTTAGAATCGCAAGTTGGTAAGAAAGTAGAAGATATAACGATACTTCAAAAAATTCATGGAAAGATTCGTATTATCTTCTAATTCTATGCTTGCAGAGAATAGCCTCATCTTTATAAGGGCAAGGCAAATATCTGGAGCAAAACGAAATAGTGGGATCCCTAGTATTTTAGGAGTAGAACACAAGATCCACGAACTTTTTGAAGTATCCTCATACTGTGAAGACTGAGACAGAAATGTGAAGTAACATATAAAGAATAAAATAATACCAAGAAAATATAGCAAAGGAGCTAAATTCGTGTAAGCTAAAGAGAGTTCAGTGAACACACGGCAAATGATAAAGTCCTTTAAAAAGCGTTATGATGGAAAGAGATTGGATGTTTCTGGTGAAAAGCCAGGCATGGGCAATGTTTTGTTAGCTTTCCAGAAAGATTAAAAGATTATATCCAGTAAATTCCCTTGAGAAGTGGCAGGTGTAAGAGGACCCTGGAAATCAGTAAGTAATCTGGCTTCAAAAAAATAATTTTTTAAATGAAGTCATTTCTTGAGGGGTAATGGAGATCCAAAACAGTTATGTCTGGGCACATCAGAGGCCCCTACTGTGCTGCACCTGTAGAGGCAGAATCCCATGCAGACTGGGCTCCTGCTGTCACACAGGCCATTAAGCAAGCTTTGAGCCTGGGGTGGAGCCCACACGCAGCCTGAAACTTCTCACAAAGAGTGCTGCCAAGCACTGGAGAGGAGATTTGGTTTGGTTTCGTTCTCTTACAAAGATAACGTTTTATTAATTTATGTCTTTGAGTCTTCTGTAGCATGAGGTTCATCGTCATGCAAAAAGTCCGTGAAATACCTTAAACCAGGTCTATAGCATTTTCACATACCATGTGATATTTGATATAATTAAGAAAAGCAGTAAACTGGTAAGTTAGTTAACTGGAAAGGGAATGGTTTGAAAGCAATCCAATTTCCTCCACTTCTACATATTAACCTTACCACATGATTCTAAATATAAAGATTTGCTGTTTACCAACAGGAAATTACAACTACATTTACATGTGTCTTTGGAGAAAATGCATATTTACAATAGCCACATCTTTATATAAGCAAGGCAAATATCCGGAACAAAACAAACAATTCTGTAGTCCCACATGAAATTAATATTTTAGGAATAGAGCACAAGATTTCCAAAGAACAAGAAAACCTACGCATTACAGAAAAATCACATAGACATCAATTTTGAGTAAGAGAGAGCAACACATCTCAAACCATTTGTGTAGGACCAGTTGGTGTTTTGTTTGTTTCAATTCATTGCAACCAATACCTTTGTAAAGTAAGAGTTTATTTCTAGAATCAAATGAAATTATAATGAATTATAAAATACAAAATATAAGTCCCATTTTTTAATTATTGGATTCAACATACATAAAATCACTCTAAAACTACAGTAAACGTTCCCAGTTAGACTCGATTCTTTATTTAGTTCATGGCAGATCATATCACCAACACTCGCTTGTCTGAAGACCATGGTTTGAAAAGCACCAAGATAAAGTATCTAAAAATGGAGATGTTCCAGAAGGATATCACATATTAGTCCCTGGTTCAAACTTTCATTATTTGTATAGTATTGAATTTTATTGAAGTAGCAATTATGTATAGTTTAAAAGGTCAACCAGGAGTACAAGGTTTAAAAAAAACAAGAGAACCCTGCACTTTCCTTCACTTCCCAATTCCCAATTCCTCTTTCCTTTCCTTCCATGTTTCTGAATAATAAGCATACAATGCTACTTAAGTGTCATATGTCACTCCAAGGTACAAATAACAATAATGCCCATCACCCACCTTAAGGAAACATCTATAGTCGAACCTCTGTGTTACTCTCCCTGATTTCATTTCCTCCTGCCAAAATTCGGTGTTTGTTATTCTCATACATCTTTTTACGCTTTTGCTAGATATGTCTGTATTCCCAAATATATATTGTTTTTCATGTTTTTAAGTTTTATAAAAACAGTACAATATTTTCTGAAACTTGTTTTTTCAACTTATCACTGTTTTTGATAATTATCCATAGTGACACGTATAGCTGTGGTTTATTAATTTCCTCTGTTGAATGGTATCTCATATGAATAAATCACAATTTATTGACCCACTCTCCTGTCGATGGACATTTGTGTTATTTCTCATTTTTTTATTATTATTACATACCATGTTGCAATGAACATTCTTGCACATGTCTCCTTTTGCACATGTTCAAGAACCATGGGTAATATTACTGAGTTGAAGGGCATGTGCATCTTCACCTTTTAATATTGCCTTCTAAGTCTCCAAAGTGTCTGTACCAATTTACACTTACTTCTGCAGAATTTGAGTTCCCATCTCTCCATATGACCACCAACGTTTGAAATTGTCAGACTTTTTAATTTTCCCAATCAGATGGATTTTAAATGGTGTCTTATTGTGGTTAAGTTTGCATTTCCCTGATTCATAATGAGATTGAGTCTTTTCATACAATTATTGGCCATTTTGGTTTCTTATTCTGTGATTTACCTATTTATCTTTTACCCGTTTTCTATTGTTTTTTATTATTGATTTATGAGTTATTTATATATTCTGGATTCAAATCCTCTGTCAATTATGTGGCAAATGTTTTTCCCCAGTCTGTAGTTTGTCTTTTCACCTTCTTAATGATGTCTTTCAATACCTAGGCAAGTTTTATTTTAATAATGTTGGCTTTGTCAGCTTTTTTCTTCATGGGTTGTGCCTTTTGTACTTTATTAAATCTTTACTTTAACCAAAGAGCATGAGCCATATTCCCATATTCTCTTCTTAAAGTTTTAGGTTACTGAATTCACTTGGATTTTTTATTTAGTCTGAAAAAGAGTTTCAATTATGTATTTTTTCCTATATGTATAACCAATTACTCATCACCGTTTTTTGAAAAGTCTATCTTTTCTCAGTTGACCTGCAATGTCACTCTGTTATATGAGGTTACTTCAAAAAGTTTGTGGAAAAATAGAATTGAAAGATAATACAATCTTTCTGTGAACTTTTTGAGGTACCCTTGTGTATATCAGATGTCAACCTGTCGTTGTGTTTCTGGGCTCTATATTCTGTTCCAGTGGTCTTGTTATACATTCCGGTGTCAATATCACACTATCTTAATTACCATACTCTATAATAAGTCTGGTGTGTGCTAGCATGACTCCACCCATTCTCTGCTTCTTCTTTCCATGTGTCTTACCTACTCTTGGGCATTTCCATTTCTATTTTAGAATCAGCTTCTCGTGTTCCCAAAGATGCATGTTAGAATTTTGATTGGAACTGCCATAAAATCTATATATTTCTGTGGAAAACTGAAATCTTTGTGATAATACATGTTCTTGCCCATGTTCATAAGATGTTTTTCTCTTTAGGTCATCTTTGAGATTTTTTCTATCACTTTTTTTTTTTTTTTAAAGATGACCAGTAAGGGGATCTTAACCCTTGACTTGGTGTTGTCAGCACCACACTCACCCAGTGAGCAACCGGCCATCCCTATATGGGATCCGAACCCGTGGCCTTCGTGTTATCAGCACCACACTCGCCCGAGTGAGCCACGGGCCGGCCCTTTCTATCACTTTTTAGAATTTTTTCATAAAGGTTTTAAACATCTTTTGTTAGATTTATTGCAAAGTGCTTTATCATTTCTTTCTTAATATTATAAACTACATCTTTTTTGAAATTATATTTTCTAATTCTTTGTGTCAGAACCATAAGAAAACAATTGAATCACCTTGCTAGATTCTTATATTAATTCTAAAAATTTGCTTGTAAATTATCTTAGCTTTTGCTATGTAAGCAAATATATAACCTGTGAATGATTGCATGGAAGGGATTTGTAGTAGGCTGAATAACAGTCCCCCAGAGATGTCCACATTCCAATCCCCATAACCTGTGAATATGTTACCTTACATGACAAAATGGATTTTGTAGATGTGACTAAAGTAAGGATCAT